CAAACACAGTAAAAATGTTTTGGTATACTGAAAAATATGCTTTTTTCTAATAACATGGTGTTTTGTTGAAATAGCTCTACTACTGCAAGTGCATTAGGACAGTGCAAATGTAAGAACACATTTTAGCCAAATAGTTTTCTGAGGCAAAATCAAATGACGAGGCCCCTTGCGAACGAAAATCTTTCGCAACCATGTCCTTAAGAGTACCTTGAATTCTTTAATATTCTTGCAATCGTTAAAACGTTTTACTTTTTAGGGAAAATTCTGCTACTTTCAATTAATTCCATTTAAAACAGAATTCGTTTATTTTTTAGGCTTCTTGGACCTCAATTCCCTGGGGCAATTTGGCCCTCTCCCCCCCCCCTATCAGCGGCCCTGGAAGCAGCCCATCTAGATCTTTAAACAAGCCAAGATTTTAGCGTATGCAGAGTTTTTAAGCGTGGGCCCTTTGAAAAATGCCCCACCACTTAAAAATCACTAAAAAATGCTCTGCTCATATCAACAGAAAAAAAATTTTGTATGGAAAATGCGGTCTTGGAGCTACCAGACTGCATTCTTTGTTGTGTAATCTATGCAGATCTATGTAATCTAAGTAAGCCAGAATTTATATTCTGCGCGCAAAACACAGAAAATGCAGTCTGCTTGTTGATTGCCTTATTGATTCGTAATAGAAAAGCCGATACTTAATTATTCCATCTTATGTCATTGATTTTCTCTAGTAAAAATACTCCCTGCACCAAAGAAACTAAAGATAAAATAGCTGAAAGAGACGAAGCTAGATTACATATCACTAGGTCTTTGCTGGAAGCCATTTTGAATATCGCCAACTGTCAAAAATGACACGTGACAGTTTCCATCTCGGCAGTCGGGCTGGAATTCACGCATATGAACAGAATTTCAAATTCATCTCGTTAAGTGAGCAGGCTCAATAAGCGACCTAATATGAACAGGCCTAGGCCATGTCCGGTATCCCAACAACAAGTTACTTGACGTAAATAACCAAAACAAATCGCAGTCCACTCAGCGCAGTAAAGTGGCACTTGAAAAAATTATCATCACCAGGATTTTCAGAAATCTAAAACGAATTTTGCTCAGCATCTTGCTCTCGATATTGCTTAACTCCATGAAATATCGGCTCTGAAATTTTTGCCGAAATTTTATTCATCAGTTTGACAGTGGTGAGAGAAAGATTTAAGTGGTCGTGAAGATAAACATTTTAATTTCCCTATGAAATGTTAAACTTCAAATGTCAAAATCTATTTTCAAGAAAAAATATGCATTTTTATAAAGCACAGTTATTTTGAATAGCTACCTAAAGTTGATATATTTTTAACATATTCAGCGGTGGAGGAATTGTCCCACCAGGCCTTACGTCTTCTCCATCAATGAGGAGCAAAATGCTCCTTTTACCCCTGATGCCAAGCCAATTTAAAAAGAAAGAACATAATGTAAATGCTGGCAAATAGAAGCAAAATATTATTTTGTTTTGTGTTGGTTTGGTGACTTCACTTATAAACTGCAACTGAAAGCAGAAGAGCAAGCTACAATCACTGCCAAAATTACTTGGAACACCTAACACTTTGGGCTGTGCTTTTCTATTTTTCATTTGTTTTCTTGAATACTTCCACTTCCGCCCCCCTTTCCCCCCAAAACAATGTTGAAAGTATAGAAAAATATCAAACAATCCACAAGAAAAAGCGTACTCCATAACCCCTCTCTTTTTTCTAAAGTAAATCAACATTGTTCCTAGGGGGAGAGGGGGATGGCTGAATTTGCCTTTGAAAACCTACGTTAGTGTTCCAAGACTTTTGGCAGTGATTGTATGTCTTCAGTAGCAAGGCCATCCAAAATGTTCACTGACACTTTTTAATCAAATTTCTTTGCTAGGTAGTTGCTGATTTCAAACATTCTTCAAAAGGGTTTCAATTATGTTTACAAACTTGCTGATTTCAAACATTCCATAAAAGAAGTTCAATTATGTTTATAAACTTGCTGATTTCAAACATTCCATAAAAGGGTTTCAATTATGTTTATAAACTTGCTGATTTCAAACATTCCATAAAAGTGTTTCAATTATATTTATAAACTTGCTGATTTCAAACATTCCATAAAAGTGTTTCAATTATGTTTATAAACTTGCTGATTTCAAACATTCCATAAAAGTGTTTCAATTATATTTATAAACTTGCTGATTTCAAACATTCCATAAAAGTGTTTCAATTATGTTTATAAACTTGCTGATTTCAAACATTCCATAAAAGTGTTTCAATTATATTTATAAACGATATGTTAGAACGTTTCAAAGAGACTTTGTAATAGCAGTTGGTGTCAAACCTTGAAGACTAAAGACTCAATCTTACAAATATACGGTATGGCGTTCAGCGTGATCATAATTTAATGGAAATTATGCTAAATTTGATAAACTGCAAATAACTCAAAGATTTGAACTATGCATCCCAAGCTGAATTGCTCACTTCTTTGAGCAAATGTCTAAGAATAGACTCATCTAAACCAAATAGTTGTCTTATATATGATGTATGTGGGAAACAACCCACCTAGTTGTTGCAATAAACCGGGATTAAAGGTACTATAAACCGGGATAAGATTTCGCTGGCCATTTAAATTCCCATTGGTTAGACAATACAATAGACCTAATGTTACGGAACCAATCGGCTAACTTTAATATTTTTTCGATTTTTAACACGCTACAAAGGCTACTGTTAACTCTGAGAGCAGTGGCGGCGTCAAGGGGTGGTATGGGGAGGGGGGGGTGGTAATTAGCCTCCCCACTTTTGTCGAAACATTGTCTATATATTTTATCTAAAAACGGATTAAAAAGCACTAGGTAGGAGTAGATCATATTTCCTTAGGAAATTGGACCTGATACAAAGCATTGAAACGAGGCCAATAGGGCGTGGTCTCACGAGCAACACCCATTACCCTCCCACGCTGCAGTAACTAGCGCCGCCACTGTTTGAGCGGTTGACTGATGGGACATAGTGCCCTCAAAGTTTTTGAAGTAATGAAATTTTAGCTAGTAGATCTTTGCTCTAAAATTTGAGGGTCATTGTCAGGAATTCAGGAAGTATCAAGTTTTAATTGGAACATAAATAACATCAAGGGGTTAGTGGCTTGCTTTATGGGAATTGGAAGTGTCCCGGAATTTTAAAAACTATTGGTTGATGGTAACCACAAATTAAAATACAAATTAAGCTTTGAACAAGGTATTTGAGGCTCGTATTCATTTAAAGTTTGTTATAAAAACAAGTGCTAAGATTTTGGAAACGAGTTTCTTTGTTTTGCTTCAAACTCATCGAGCGTGTACAGAAGGCAGATTATAATTGTGGCGTGCGTCAGAGCAAATTTCGTGTCGACTTTCAAGAGGAAGTTAAAGCAATTGTTAGTTATCATTAATTTTGACCTTGAACACGGACAGCTGAAGAGACTTTTGTTAACGCGTTCCAGACCTTAGCTGAACTGTTTTTCAAAAAATCAGCGCGCTTAAAAGATATAAGCATAGCTTTCCGTGGGAATGTAGACAGAATTATAAGCAGAAAAGGCACTTTTATAAATGTTGCGAGTCCCAGGTAGCCGCAATTTTAAGATAAGAAAAGAAAGCAACTTTTGAATAAAAGCAACACAGCAGTAATTTGACTTGGCAGAAATCGCTGTTAAAACTACAAATAAGATTTTGATCCGTAAAGTTTGACGGTAAGCACATTGCTGAAGTTTGTTGCATTTAAAAGCTCTAAAAAGCAGGCTCTAGGATGATTTTTGTTGATTAAAAACTAGCCACAAGCTAAGAGTTTTTAGAAAACAAAGCAAAAGTCAAAAGCGGTAATGAAAGCGGACAAGAACGTAACGCCGGAATTGTTAATTAAAATCAAGAAAGAATCATTAAAATTGTTAATCACTTTTTGATATCGAAAAAGCTTTAATGCCTAGGCCCGCAGGTATCTATCCTGAGTTTTTGAATAGGTTTTGAATAATAACTGTTGCGAAGAAGCTGTATTCGACTTAGGTTGGCATAATAAAAAAGGATATTAGCCATTTCATTTGGACAGAAGGCTGAAGGGGTGGTTGTGTGTAACATTTCTAATCTTTACTCCCGTTATGCACGAGGAGCTTTACAAATAATTGCAGCAACTTTGCTTGCAAGGATGTCATTATTCAATTATTTACAGAAACTTGGAAGCATAGTCCGTAGCTACATAACGCACAAAACAAACTTGAATCTATACAACTTGTATGTTAGAAGTCTTCCAACGAATGGCCTAAACCAACAAATCAAAGAGTTATAAAGTTAATGGTAGGAAGATTGACGAAGGAAGCAACACCCAGCAGAAGCGCAATTCAAATTTAAACTTTTCTAGTTCCTTAAATACTACGGAGCATAGATACGAAAATTTTGAATGCGAACGGGCTTCTAAAAGATAATGACTCGCCTTTCAAAAAAATGTGTCAAAATTTCCTCTTGATCAGTGAGGCAATCCTGAAAAACTGCATTTCAAATCAAACTTTCGCCGTCATGGCTATTTTTCAGTAGCGGAGAGATCGGTTAGAAATTTGCTGATTTAATCGGCGTGGCATTTTCTCTGTAGAAGTGGCCTAAAAATGAATTTTTAGCGCATCAGAGAGTTGCTAGATTTTCCGAAGGTAGCAGAAATTTCTCGATATCTCTTGTTCCAATAGGGTTTGACGCCCCCATGTCCTCCCTATCGCGAAAGTCCTGGCCCCATTTGCTTCAAAGCCGCGGCCGGAGAAAGGTGTGTCTTCTCAATAACAATGCGGAGATTTCTGAGAAACAGGTATTTTAGACTGAGTATTGAAAACAAGCCTCATCAGCAAAATTGTGGGCAGCTGTAATAAAGGGTTTTAATTCAATTAGTAAATTTGTTTCCAACTTCCCGGACCATAGAATATGTTGCGGGTTCAAGCGAATCATTGACATCACAATTGACGTCACCGCCATTGTTATTTGCATTCGTGTTTGAGGACAGATAGAGTAGTTTTGACAGGTTGTCAGTTGAACGGTTCGTGGAGGATAGTCGAGTGCCTCGTGTTGCGACGGATTTGCAAATTGCTTTTAAAGCAGCGAATCTAACAAACGTGTTCATGTTGCAGTCAAAGATGAGCGATATCGAAAATGTATACAGTTCAGAAAGACGAAATGCCGCCCCGAAGGTCGTGATATTTCGTACGGCAGCAACGTCCGTTTTGCTGGTCGGCACATTAACAACAATTTCACAGTTGCTGTCTTTTGGCTATTTCAAAGTTGTTGAAATCGAGCAGGTTTTGTGTTTTGTCTGGCAAGGCGTTCTGGTAAGTTTTTGAATTAACAATCGTAAGTTATCTTGATAGTTCGGTACTGATGTAGCCTTCTCCGCCAAGTAATGAAATGAATGTCAGTATAATTTTACATTTCTGCAATTCATTAAATCTATCGATAATATGGAAGGAATAGTTTATCAACTAGTAGATAGTTCAATTTCGCTAGAATAGAATTATGTAAACTGGTATCTCTACCAGGTTTTACACTACAAAGGTACCCTGGTCTGGAAACCCAACGATTATAAACAGTGGAGGTGTTATTTAATCTGTAAGGTTATTTTACTTTTTGGGAGTTCTGTATTATAGCTTTCTTGAGAATACTCAGAATTTAATGACGAACCCTGGCCTTAATGATCACCTCCTAGATCGGATTTGCTACAACGCCAAATTTTTACTTTAAGAAAGAGGCGTCTTTGCAAATTTATCGTCCACTCCCCGTCAAAATTGAAAAAGAAAGAGCATTTCAATGCGCTATTTAACAAAGTAAACATTTGAATTACAATACAACTGTGCAGGTACAGATTTATCTTCAGTCTTTCACTTTAAATTCCTTTTGTTTAATATATCTAGTCGCCGCTTAGCATTGTACAAAAAAAATAAGACACTCCTAATTTACAACAATATGATTGGGTCAAATAACGTTCAACAGGACCATTATAGAGGTAAATTTCCTAAATTATCGGAAAATTTAAGTTTCAATTAAGTTTCAGATTTTAATTCCCAAATTTATCCTCTTTATCCATAAAATGGTTGTTTGTCAACCGTTCACGCAGAGTTTACAGTAGATTTGTCGTTACGGAACAAGTTTTTAGCATTCGTGTAAGTTTTGAGAAGTAGCATTTGATCACGGATGGCGAATGTATATTTTCAAAATTGTTCACCTTTTAAATTGTTTATAGAAACGCATGACATGTAGACTGTTTTCTAGAAATCTCTGTCCAAAGGAAATTAACCTCGGTCTGTGGGATTAATTCACCAATCTTCGTATTACCCACCGCTCTAATAGTATAACAGGATATCCTGACCTCTCCATAAACTAAATTTCAAAATACGTGCCTGGTCATTGGTTCAATTTGAATGGATACTTAGAGCATGAATGTAACGGGTGGGAAAAAAATGGAAACATTTGGATTGAAAAGAGAGTCTTCTAACAAACTAACACACGGGAACGTTAAGCCATGGTATTCATTTGCTCTACGTTAAAGACATTTATACCTTTTCTTTACGGGCAAAAACTTAATCGCTCCCTCCCTTCCTTACTAACTGTACTTCAACAAAACTTCTAAAATAAACACTGAAACGATAAACGATGATTTCGTGTTAACGTATTCATGATAACCGCACGGAAATTTTTTACCATTCTGTTCATCAAATGAAAGAATGGATAATCATTAACACGGAAAGGGTTTGGCATCCTTGAATGTGACCATCGCGACTAGCTTCGGGAAGATGAAAGACGTCCAGTCGGCATATTCCCTCACATCCTTACAACCCATGAATTCTTTATAATTGTTCAAATCCTTTTTTCCGTATTAACTATCTACGATGTCTAATTTGGTCGCCAAAAAAGCTTTCTGATAGTATTGTCCCTTCGGTCACCTGTCTGAATGCTGTCGGTCCACTTTCCGAAAAGACATTCTCGAGCCAACCCCAGGCAAAGCGCCATGATTTTAACTCGCATCCCAAGACCATAAAGAAAGTGATGTGAAGTGTGCATTTAACCATAAAACCTTGGAGATGCAGGCATAAAACTTGGGCCTAACAAACGCTATATTTTTTGCCAAAAACATTTTGGCAGTAAGGTACTTTTGAGAGACTTTGATGGCCTTCAAGGCTAAAGTTCATCAAAATTAAAAGTTGCCTACAGGTTTGCGTCAGGTGAAGCTTTACAAAAAACTCAGCAGAAATTCATGGTTGCACAGGGCTCCAGCCCCCGCCCTTTTGGTAGTCAGAGGGGGCCCTGTACCTAATAGAATATGTAATTTGTAAAAAACCCCGAGGGGCCCCGCGTGGAATTTCCTAGAACTGCTGCTGGGTCGTGCATATCTGTACTCGGTCTTGTTGGTGTCAAATTATCAGCAACTCGAAGTATCTAAATCTGCCACAATAACAGAAATACGGGGCGCACTGCCAAGTATGAATAATTTCAGCGAAAATTATTGTATAATCTATTGATGGTGGTTCTTTCCTGTTCACCGCAATTCGTTAAAATTGAATTACTGAAATAAATTATGTATTGACGAACACAGATTATAAAATGCGGGCCTATCCCTCAGGATTTAGCTGCAGACATCGCCCCAAATAAGGGATAAATTGTTTATGCTTAAGCAAAAGCGTTAATGAGTAAAGAAATTCAGGTTTAACAGGGAGTCTAACGCAATTTGGAAAGTAGAGGGACCATGGGCAAATCAAAGTGTCATGAAAAAAGATTTTGCAGCGAAGCTATATTGTTTTGAAAAAAGTTAGGGAGCCTTGGCCCCCCGTTGTCGTAAGAGTAAAATGCTGTAAGTTCGTGATTTATTACCTAGAGCTAGCCTAGTACCCCAGCTACGAGCTAGCACAACAGGGAAAGTAGAAAATTTTACAGCCTCTCATCCCAGGTAGGTCACAGAGGAATAGGGGTCGGGCGGATGGAAGGAGATTAGTTCAGGTTTTCTCTGAGATAAAAGTCTGCTCGTTATACAGGCATGTAGTGACTTAGCCGCGCCGTTTCATCTCGATTATTTCCCAACTGCTCTTGCAATGAAAACATATGCTATTGTTTGGCGTTTTCCGAACTTGCATGCCTTTGAGAGTGTTAGGCAAACAAGAAGGCCAGTGGGGGCTCAAGGCTACCAAAAGTAAGGGGCCAAAGCTTTTTCCCCTTTTACTGCTTTAAAACTACTTGCTTCGCAAAAAGTGGGGGCATGGCCTCTACGCCCCCCCCCCCCGGTGGTGTGGGCCCGGATAACCAAACCAAGCCATAGTGTTGATCACCCTCATCCTTATTGCACGAAAATCCACTTTTTAAATATGGGATGAAAATTACTCACTTCCAATTGACTGACATAATAGGAAGAAGAGCTTCTTGTGACTAAAATTAGGTGTTGTAAGTTATTTATATGCTATATTGTTGTGTTTCTAAAAAGTAGTTGGTATTCAAAAAATGTTAGCAGGGCCTTCGACGAAGGGGGCCGGGGGCCATGCTCCCCCCCCCCACTTTTTTGGAAAACAATAGAGCTTTTTTCAAAGTCCTTTGTTATGATTGTTAAATCTTCCATTGACCCCCCCCCCCACCTTCTTTCCAACCTGCGTCGGAGCCCATGGTTGAGGACTAAAATTAAAGAAAAGTTTAAGATAGTATTTTTGAGTTTAGCTTTTTATAAAGAATACGTTCAGCTTCAAAAAGTTGTTTGGAGATTTATATCTTCCCTAAATGCTCCTATTTTACTGGCAGATTCAAGGCCACAAGGTTTTGGCCTGGCTTCAGCACTCCTTATACCCTTTGAATATCCTTCAAATATTAATAACCAAAGAAGTTTTCAAGTTCTTTATTCTTTTATAGTACAAATAGTGTTGTTTCATAACTGAAAGCTGATGTGCAGCTGACTTGGTTTCTATAGTGATTATTAGATGCATGTTATTACCATTTCAATTAGTAACGTTATATTGTATTTCTTAGTCGCAACCATTATTTACTCAACATCTTTGTGACTTCACTTGAAAATCTTAATCACCTATAATGCCTGCCAAAACTACTTGGAAAAACCCAGAATTTGTGTTGTGCTTTTCTATCATTCATTTCCTTTCCCGACTACTTCTTCAACAATTTTCCTGTGACAGTACTTCGAGTCGCGTTAGGATTTAGACGAAGAAGACTTCATAGTTTCTCACATTTTCTTGATTATTAAAAAGCTCCTTTAACTACAAAATCAATCTATTTATATTCTTTAAAACGGAAATGCTAAATACAATGGTTGAGTGACAGTTGGCTACTACGCATACATACATTAAATACTTACATGGGGAAGAGGTTACAGAAGTATACAGCGATCCTGTTACAGTCCACCCCTCGTTGGCAAAAAATTAGAAACTTGTTTATAATTTTTTCATACAATACGCGAAAACTAATTGCAGATTATGTAATGTCCATTATGATTGTTTGGTTATTTTTTTACGACAATTAACGACATATCCGAGAGAATACTTCTTGATTAAGCGATATAACGTAAGTACCTCCGTGCAGTCCTCCTTCGAGTTGGAGGTATGGGCACGATTTTACAAGACCTCTAAGACGACCATTACGTGCAAGCACTTCCCGAGCGGCGGGAAAATGCTCGACGGTATTGGTTTCTAGAAATTCGGATAATGCTGAAGAATCTAACCCTGTGCTCTTAACGTGTGTTGGCAAGGAGACAAGCGGATCGACACCTAAAGGCGGATTATGCACATTTGCTAATACCTGTGAATACCAGTGGTCGGACATTTGTTTTGCAGTATAATCCACGGTATCTTCATACACCACACTATCCGCTTTGGAGAAAGATCGTATAGTGCCGAGCGAAACATTAAAAGGTATATTTGCAGAACCTTTGTTCGAACGTATTAAGATATTGGTTACGAAGGCCATATCAGGTGGATCATCAGAGCATATGGCGTCGTTGCTTTGAGGTGCCAAAACAGCCACACAAGAAGGTGGGGTCGGGGCCAGTGGCCGACTTGGTCGACATTTTGAAAACCCAGGGTGGCTGGCAGGGTAAAATTGGGGCAGTTGTTCACCAGAAAAAGGTACGCTCTTCAGGGAGGCAAGGTCTATTGGACCACTAAGGGTTTGAAGCCCTGGTGAAAACGTATTGCCCTCCAGCCAAAGGGGCCCCGAAAAGAGAGGAGAGCCTATAAGGGAGGCGGTTACCATGAGGCAAACCGTGACAAAATTGAGCCCTCGGGTCAAAGAAACATGGCTTGCTGACGTGCCTTGCATGGGCATGGCGGTAAGCAAACATGTAACATTG